GGGGGGGGGAGGGGCTCTGTCAGCTCATGCTGATTCTCCCCCCGCCCCCATCACTGGCTGCTTTTCTTTCCTCTCGAGAGCTTGGCCAGGTGACAAGGCTAACCCTGAAGTACTACCCACACCTCCAGGAAGAGGAAGTGCGTCCCCGGCCTCCGGCTGCTTGCTGCCAGGGCTCCCGGAGCTTGCTTACTCCTTGACCTCTTCTGCCTCTGTGGGAGAAGCACAGGCTCGACATGCAGCCTGGGGGCCCAGATCAAAGGCAGGGGGGAGAGCTCCCTGAATTGAGCGAGGCTCTCCCTGTGCAGCACACCCTGGCCACGGTGGCCACAGCATGCCCGAGCCCCCTTTCCAGGGGCTTCAGCTCTTATACGTGTGTGTGATCGGTTTATCCTCCCACGGGAGCCCCGGGTGCGGGAAGCAGCATATGGCCTCCTGCCCCAGATGCGGGGGCTGGGGGTGCTGACCTCAGGGCTGTGTGATCCAGCTTCCCACTCTGCCTGCTCCTTTCGTCCCCCATCCGTCCCCGCTCCTCTCCCTGGGTCCTTGGTGTGCCTTTGTGTCTTGAAGCCATATCCGTTGATACTTGTTTATTCTAATTACACTTTAACTGTCTGGGATTTGGTCACCTCAACTGCGCGTTTGCTTTGCCCCAGAACGGGCAATCCCTCTTGCCCTCTGCGACTCTCCGTTCATCTCCCCTGGGGGAGAAGGGAGCCCTGGGTCTGCTGACCGCCTTCCACATACCCCCAGGAAGCCCTCTGAGTTCTCATGGCATACCTGGGCGCCTTGTTTTCGTACAGCTGGTGCGCCTCTGCGTGTTCTAGGAGGCTAGTCATTCAGCAGAGCTCCTTACCGAGCACCTTCTTCCAGTCAGGTGGGGTTGGGGTGCTGGGGTGCCAAACACTGGGGCCATAGCAGGGAATAAGACAGATGCCATCCCTCCGTCCAATCGGGGAGGCGGTGTGCAACCTCACGCTTCAGCAGAGAAGAGTGATACAGACCGGTTAGCGCGGAGAGGGGCCCGAGCAGGGGAACAAGCCTGGGAGACAGGACAGTGTCTCAAGGCTGAGACTCAAGGGTACATGAGAGCCAGCCCACAGAGAGCCTGGGAGAGAAGGGGAGCAGCAGCCCCTGACCCCTGCTGGTTCCCCCCACCGCAGGCTCGTGGAGGAGTTCATGCTCTTGGCCAACATGGCAGTGGCCCACAAGACCTACCGCGCCTTCCCTGAGCGCGCCCTGCTGCGCCGGCACCCCCCGCCCCAGACCAAGATGCTCAATGACCTCATGGAATTCTGTGACCAGATGGGGCTGCCCATGGACTTCAGCTCTGCCGGAGCCCTCAACGTGAGTGCCGGGAGTGTAGGGGAGGGGGAGACCCTAGCGGAGAAAGCCTCCAAGTCACAGAGGCCCTGGCCGTGGGCCATGCTCCCCACCAGGACCAGGCCACGGGAAGCCAGTCAACACCCATCTATCTATGGGCAGGGATCCTGTGGCCAGGGATGGGCGGGGCTTGGGTCCAGAAACTTTCAGTAAGGGGCTGAGATGATTGGAAGCCAGAGAATGTTTTTTATGGTAAGTAGGGTCAAATGTTTCCTGCCTGGATCTAAGCCTTATGGGGCTTGGGGACCCGTGACTTCAGCTCCGATCCCACGGGAGGGAGGCTGTTCCCATCTGTGCTGTAAGCCTGGGGTGGGCAAAGAGGCACCTTAGGTCAGACAACTGGAAACCAGTCTCTCCCTCCAGCCAATAAGACACAGACTGACCTCAGAGCAGGACATGGGCTGGGGGCTGCTGGCCCCCTGCAGCCCACCGTGGCCATCTGAGCATGGTCGAACCCCTCAGCATACCCTTCCTCCCCAGAGCCAGGTCTCAGATGGTCAGAGGGTGACAGGGGCCCCAGAGCCAACCCAAGCTTGACTGCATATCACACGGGTTTGCTTCTAGAAAAGTCTGACCAAAACATTTGGAGATGACAAGTACTCACTGGCCCGGAAGGAGGTGCTCACCAACATGTGCTCCCGGCCCATGCAGGTAAGGAGGGGCCTCATCCCCATCCTCCCTTTTCTCTTAGGAGCATCCATGGCCTCCACACACACAGGAACTAAGGGGAGGGGTGGGGAGCACCCCCAGGCAGCACCTAGGACAGGTGAGCCCTGGGTTCCTGAGCCTGATCTGCCTCCTACACAGACTTGCCTGCCTCATCTGCTCAAGGACGGCTTCTACAGGGCTGTTAAAGGGCCTCGTTTGAGCCCCACTGCCCCCTTCACGTGGCCTCTGGGGCTCTGTTTCCTAGCAGAAGGCAGGGAGTCCCCACAGGGTGTACGCTAAGCCTTTGGTGCCCAGTCGCCACAAACCAGACCAGCTTAAGGAAGGGAATGGGGGCTGGTCAGCAACTCAGTTGCACGGGCACCCCGGAGGGGAGAGATTGTCTTGTCTCCTGCAGCAGCCTGCCCAGGGGAGCAGTCATCAGCCCATACCACGGCTTCTGGACCCCAGGCAGAATTGTCTCCCTCTCGCCAGCTAGTAGAGGAGGATTTAGACCATGGGCCTGTGTCTGCAGGCAGGGTGACAGGCTGGCAGCCTAGGAAGCAGACAGTGAGCTTGCTCCTAACAGCAGGTGTCAGCCCTCTGGCAGGCGCAAGCATCTTGGGAAGGAGCCACCCCACCAGCCTGTCAGGTCAGCGGGAGCCACAGATACTAATGGGACCAGCTCTGGGCCCCAGTCTGGCTGAGGGGCAGTGACAAACCATTTTTCAGGGGCTCAGTCACTGCAGATTCAATCTGTTCACAGGAACCAGGTCACCTCAGCTGGCCACAGCCGATTTATTTTCTGACAGTCATATTTTCTGCCAGGAATGGAGTCATCCGGGCCCGTGTGGTCTGGCTGCCTTTCCCCTGCCCCCAGTCACAATTGTCTGCCCCCACCAAGCCCCTTAAAGCCACACAGAGGGGCAGGTGTGCCTGTGGCCAAGGGGCTCGATGTCACTCTGCCCTCCAGTTACTCTGAGATGCAGTAGCCCCTGGGTCCCAAGATCTACCTGTTGACTGTGCCGTGAGGGCTAATTGGGCTCCCGTTCCCTGCCCCCAGCCTCTGGAAGGCATCCACCTCCAAGGTCAGACTAGCCCTGGAGCTCCACGGAAAGGAGCCTTCCTCTCCCGAGTCACCCAGAGCCTTAAATAGAGTGGACTTCTGGCCTTGCCTGTCAGTAAGTGACCTTAACAGCCAGCCTTTGTCTGGGGAGCTGATGGCAGGGGGTTGTTGGAATTTCTGAAGTGCCCCTGTTCTCCCAGTCCTGAGAACTGGGACAAGGACAGGGGACCGAGCAGGGGCAGCAGCAGTGAGCACAAAAGTCCCAAGTAAGGTGCTGGAACTGGGCACCAGGGCTGTCCCCGGAGCATCTGGTCCCTGGGAACGCCACAGCCCTCACCCATCCCACCCTGCCCAGAGACACCTTCTCCAGCCGGAAAGGGGACCAGGGCCTCCGTCCTCCTCACCCCTGATCATCTGGGCCACCCCCGAGAACAAGGCCCAGACGTGGCTTGGAGTGGAGGCTGCTCCCAGCTCTCCCGGGGACTTGCCCCGGACATAACCCAGGTCCCAGCAGGAGCTGGAGGGGAAGAGGTCTCAGGGAGCTGAGCAGGCCATCCCCAGCTGTGCCCTGGATTCCAGGGCCGACGTACACAAAGTAACTGGAGCCGGCTGTCCGTTTGGCCAAGTGCACAGGCGGGTGTGTGCAAACAGGGAGCAAGTGAGTGAGCACACAGGGGTGTGACTTTGGCCCTAGATGAGGAACCTGTTCTCTTGTTCCCAGGCAGCAGCGGCGTCCTTGATTCCCAGCCCCGGAAGCTTGGGGACCACTGGGCAAACAGCTGCGGGGACGGTGGCCAAGGCTCCCGGATGGCAGAACCACTATGGGCCTGGAGCTATTTGCTGGGCCCCTAGAGAAACTTGGCCTCTCTTCAAGCACCCCATCATCGTTTCCTCCCCTGCAGAAGGGCCTTTTGAACTCAGGCCTCTCGAGTCTTGGCTCAGGGCAGCTTGTCAGGGACAAGAAGGGCTGAGGCCGGTGGCTGGCAAACCTCTCCCTCCCTTGGCTGGTGCAGGGTTGAGTATGGGGGGTACAGAGGTGCCAGGGTGCAAGCATCGCCTCTAGCAGGACAGGCATCGGGGCCAGAGGGCACGAGGTTGGTCACAACGAAGACTAGGCCTGGGCCACAGAGGAAGAGCCAGGCACCCCCAGTCGATTTCATTCTAGGCGGGTAGCAGGAGTCTTGGGCCGCATGATGGTGGCGGAGGTGGACTTCGCGTCCTTGCAGAGCCCCGTAGCCTCCTCGGCGTCTGCTGCTGCCTCCACGGGACGTCTGCGGCCCCTTGTCCAGCATGGCCACAGGCCTCCCCTCTTCTCCCTGTTGCACACTAGCTGCCCCATCCCCGTCCCGTGGAGGGGCAGACCAGAAACAGCTCCCTCCTTGTCGCGGGCGGTAACAGCCCCGAAAACTCGGCAGTGGCTGGCTGAGGGGGAGGATGAGCTCCTCCCCAGCTGCCCTCACAATTCAGCAGGTGGGCGGCCCTCCCTGAGGGCTTGGGTGGCCGGTCCCACAGGCCTCGGAGGGAGGAGGTTTCCAACCATCCTGAGGTTTCCCAGCACCCCCTGGGCCCCACAGAGGCGAGGTGGGCCCCTTACGGTGCTCTTTGGCCTGTTCTGCGTGCTGCCATCGCGAAGGGTCCGGGCAGTGCAGGGCAAGGCCCACGTTTGTCTTCAGCAGGAGAGGGGCATGGGCATCTCGTGGCTCTGCACAGCCTCGTGGCAGCCACACTGGTCCCCTTACAGAGGGTGGCTCCTGGCCTCCTCGGGCCTGTGGTCGGCCACCTACAGCCTGGCAGTTCAGTCCACCCCCAAAACAGCCCATCATGAGACTCTGAGCATCACAGCCTGGGAGAGCAAACTCCGCCCTGACCTGGCCTGGCCAGGTTCTAAGACTCACCTCCCATCTCCCCAGATGGCACTGTACTTCTGCTCGGGGACGCTGCGGGACCAGGCACAGTTCCGGCACTATGCCCTCAACGTACCACTCTACACCCACTTCACCTCCCCCATCCGCCGCTTTGCTGACGTCCTGGTGCACCGCCTCCTGGCCGCCACTCTTGGTAAGACAGCACTGGGGTAATTCAGGCTTGTGCCCACCTGAGGGCTGCCCAGCCCCAGAGCGGGTCCCATGGCTCTATGTAGAGACTCCAGGGGGCAGACGGCCTGAGCAGCCGGGGAGCCTGGGCCCAGAAACACCCTCTGTGAGCATGCTGGGGGTGGCTGCAGTGGGGCTCATTAAAATCCTATACAAAAGCCGGGGCTCGAGGACCCCAACCATGGCTGCCCACCTTGCCGGAGCCTCCGGAGCTGAGCAGCAGGAAGGCCTCTGCCCTGCATGGGTTTCCCAGGCCCCACCTTGCCTGGGCAGGGAGCACCATGCTTCCCGTCACCCAGCCGTGGCCGGCACACGCACAGCACCCTGCCAGCTGCCCCGCACCCACCCTCTTCCCAGGCTACAGGGAGCTGCCGGACCTGGAACCCGACGCCCTGCAAAAGCAGGCCGACCACTGCAATGACCGCCGCATGGCATCCAAGCGCGTACAGGAGCTCAGCACCGGCCTCTTCTTTGCCATCCTCGTGAAGGTGAGGCCACCGGCCTGGCAGCCCCTCCCCCTCACCTACCCCACTCCCCCTCCTGGGCACCTGTTCACGAGGCGCCCTTAAGGAGCTCATGGGCCTTCGGCAGCTGGGGTGGGCCCTGGGGGTGATGGCATGTCCTGTGGCCAAGCCTCGGCTAGAGCTCCGTCCTGCAGGAAAGTGGCCCCCTGGAGTCAGAAGCCATGGTGCTAGGCGTCCTGAACCAAGCCTTCGACGTGCTGGTGCTGCGCTACGGGGTGCAGAAGCGTGTCTACTGTAATGTGAGTGCCCACGGCCACCCAGGCCGGGGTTGGGGACCTTCCGGGCAGGCACAGTGCTGAAGCGCACCCACTATGACATGGGAGCCGGGGACCTCGTGGCGTCTGTTGAAAGCCCTCCCTCCTCTCACAGACCCACCGAGCTGCATCGACCACACACTGTGCTTTCACTTGCGTGTCCCCCAACCCTCTGCTGGGGTCTCCTCCATCTCTCTCTGGTCTCTGGGGGTTCCTGGCCCAGGGACACACGAGCGTGGAGGATGGGAGCACAGCGCAAGGTCCTTGATGTCCTCGTGTGCACCGGAGAATACAAGCTAAGGCAGTGACAATGGCGTGTGGCAGCCGAGTGTATATACCCCCCCGACCTTGCTACCCTCTGCCGCCCGTCGCCAAGCCCACTTGTTGAGCCACGCCGGGACCCCCAGCTGCACCTGCCTAGGGTGAGGGATCCAGGCCAAGAGTCAGGCTTGGGCCCCTTCCCGAAGGACCCAGGCAACCAGAGAATGGGCCCCACCCTAGCCAGTGCAGGGCGGCAGAGTGTGCAGGCTTTGGGGGTGGAATTTTTTATAGGAATGTGAAGGAAGGAAAGATGAGACAATGATCCAGGGCCACTCTGGAAACTATGTCCCCTGAAGAGAAGGAAGAGACCGGCCCTTGCCTTGGGTCCTGCCCTGTGTGATTATTTATTCAAGGTTCTTTCCAGGGGCACTTGGTGCCTGTGCCAACGCCATCTGAGGGGCCTGTTTCAGCTGACCTTGTGGTTGGCAGGTCACCACCTGGCCCTTGACCCTGGCTTCGACTTTCTTGACATCCAGAACACTTGGGGGAGGGAGTGCAGAGCCCCGCACATGGCGTAGAATAAACATGGAATTAATACGGTGGAGCAAAGCGGAAGAGACAGAATGGAGTCCAGCTGGACTCAATCAGGGCTCTTGCCCTGAAGTTCATTGAGCAGGACAAAAGTTCAGGTCTAGGTCATCAGACAGATTTGGGTCTGCAGACAAGCCAGCCCTCAGCCTGTGTTAACAGACCCAGCCCCCGCAGGGGGCGGCACCCCTCAGCCTTGGGTTCCCCCGTCCACCTTGGGCCTCAAGTAGACGGCCCCTGATGAGCCAGGATAGACCCAGCCCCTGCCACTCAGCACTCGGTCACCCTCAGGTCCTGCCTTAACGGAAGATGGCCTGGCAGGGCCTTCCTAAAGCTGGCCGGAGGTAAGAGCCAAAGGTGGGGGTGGTCCGTAGTCAGAGGTCAAGCAGCCGTCTGCTGGGAGTGGGGCGGGGAGCTCCTTCAAGGCCGGTCAGAAGCTGCCTCCCAAGCAGCGGGCAGCCTTTCGGGGTCAGAGGTGAGGAGGCGGCACGCAGAGCTTGCACCCCACAACACAGGCGTGTGTACCCCCAGGCGCTGCCCCTGCGGTCCCACCACTTCCAAAGGGTGGGCAAGAAGCCGGAGCTCACGCTTGTCTGGGAGCCTGAGGACCTAGAGCAGGAGCCGGTGCAGCAGGTCAGAACCAGGGGGTGGGGCAGCTTTTCCAGAATGCCACTGTGGGCCCGCCCGCCCCTCAGCTCTCGAGGAGCCTTCCTCCTGCGGCACCCCTGCCCTGCCTGCCCTGCTGCCCCTCCTGCGCCCCCACCCCCACCCTCAAGCACTCAAGCTCCCGGTGGGCTTTCAGCTTCTACCTGCGAGACCCACACGGCTCGCCCACATTACCTCCTTCGGGCCACGGCTTTCCGGCACTGCCTTCCCTGCCTTGGGGACCCACTGCGGGGAGAGGACGGGGTTCTGCCTGTCCCCGTAGAGCAGGGTTTTCATTTTGGGGGTCCTTTTGAGAGTCCGATGAAAACTGTGGACTCCCTACCCCAGAAATTGCACGTAAGGTCTTCCCCACAGCACACTCTGAAGGCCAGCCCCAGACCCCGGCTGTTTTTGCGGACACTGAGCACTCACTTGTGCGCCAGACGACGGACACAGCCGTGTGTGCTTCCCTCACTTCCCACCAAGGCCACCTGGCCTCAGTCCCCGAGCAGGCTCGGCTTACAGATGGGCAGACAGAGGCCTAGAGGGGCAGGGCGAGTGGGCCTGGGGCCGAGCTAGATGGACAGTGGCAGGCCCTTGTCCCTCCCGTCCCGCGGGACCGGCCCCTCACGACCCGTTCGGGTCACCACGCTGGCTCTGCTCTGCTGCAGGTCGTCACCATCTTCAGCCTGGTGGAAGTGGTACTGCGGGCGGAGACCTCGGCCCTCAAGTACAGTGCCATCCTGAAGCGGCCGGGCCCCGAGGGCCTCCCGGGCCCGCGGGACGAGGAGGAAGCGTGACGGTGACGACGGCCTCCAGCCCAGCCGCACCCCACCCACACCACTGCCCCACCCGCTGGCTTTTAGGAATAGGACCTTTTGACACCAAAGGGGATTTTTAATTTGGTTTTTAACGACTCAGGGTTTTTGTTTTTATTTCTTCATTTTGTTTTATTTTTGCAGCTCAGTTTTTAAACAAACCGGAGAGGAGAGGGTGGGGCCGGACGGAAGGCTGAGGCCCGGCTGGTGCTTAACCAGAGCAGAACAGGACCCGGTCCTCCTGGGAGGCCAGCCCCTCTTCTGCCTGCCCACCCACTGCCTTCCCCTGCCCAGGAAACCGGGGGTTTTCAGCAAATCAGTGTCATGGAATAAAATCAGTGTGAATTGTGGTCCGGTGTGTGGGGCACCCCTGGGAGGCCAGGGCCACAGGGTCCCCCTTGGACCCAGGACTGGGGACCTGGCTCGGGCTCCACCCCTCACAGCTGAGCTGAGATCGCCACCCTCTGGAACCTTTCTGTCAGTTCCAGGATGATTCACAGAGCTGGCCACATGTCACACTGTTGCCAGGGCCTCATTCTGGCTGATTAGAAATGTAATTAGTATGCAAGACAGCAAGCTCAGCCATCACCCTGCCTCAGGTGGCTGTGTCCGTCCCTGCCCCCACCACTTCCTCTCTGCCTGCTGGCCTCAGGATGGGGGAGGCATGGGTCCTATAACACCCCCCCCCCCCC